CACACAGGCAGACTCAGCACCATGACGGGGAGTCTAGCGGATAGAGACCCCGCCCGTCTATCTTTGGTCAGTCATACACACACACACACCCGTTGAATGACACTTTTGGCATGAACTTGCCTTGGTTAGCCGGCGGTATCTAGTGTCTTACATATGTCTATCATTACGAGCGAGTGCGTCTTCGAGTTGTGCTGCGGACTGAACTGAACAGGCCCATTTATTAGCAAATACCTACCTGTGACTGTATGGCTGGCTGGCTAGCTTAATTCTTTGTCTTCTTTGACGCTTCAACGTCATAATCTTCTAACCGCTGAGCATCTAACTTGTGAACTTTTGGCGATGGCCTGACTGACAGACTGGCTGCCATGGCTTTGGCTAGTTATTCTGAATTTTTGAATTCAACTATAAATGCGTGCGCTGCCAACCAAACACTAAACAGTTCTAATTGTACCAGCGGCAACCACAGTTGTACGCGGCGGATTTTGATTTCCTTTTCATTGCTTCGTTGCTTCGTTCAATTTGCATATTTTGTTGAAAATACCTGAGATTCGCACGGAACACAAACGAATAATAACTTAAACGCGAATTAAGTGAAGAAATCAGAAAAAAATCCCATCAACAATTTATTAGCCATAGAAACGGACCGGAGGAAGCCAAAAGGTGCCATTCAAAATGGTCAGTGTACGTTTGTGAATATTTGTTTAAAGCAATTCTGACATTAGTGAACTGAACGCTGCAGACCCATTAATAATTAAAAAAAAAAAAATAAAGTTGAATAATAAATTTGAATATGGCAAATGATGATGTGTCTCTGTTGTCCTTGGAGAAGTTTAATGTGTGCTTCGTATTTGTTTGGTCGTTTTGCGAGAACGTGAGAAAAATATTAACCAAGTGGCAAAAGCTTAACAAGGATCAAGGCAAACCTTTTTTATGATTGATCAACGTTAAAATCGGCAATTGTAATAACAATGTGAATGTGTGTGATTCAGATTTATGGTTTAATGCTGTGAAACCTTTTTTATGTGATATCTCAAATAATAACATCGATATAATGAAAAAATCCGTCCCAAAATAAAAACCAAGTAAAAAGGGCGTTTAACAGCTTAATTATGGGGAAATCAGTTGAAATTGAAGTGATGGGACCATATGTCAAAACCTTTAAAAATACCATATTAAAGTCCATTCAGTTGAAAAATGTGGTTTGGACTTTTCAAATACCTATTATTTGGGGACTTCCATTATATTCCAAAAAAATATCGACCTTCATTCAACAAGTATTGCAAAGGATATTTTCTACTCAATGAGTTCTTAAAGTTCCAAAATCCAGCAACTATGGCTGCATCGACTTGTGGTCAACAGGTGTCTCTAAATGAACCAAGCATATATCATATATCAGGTTGTAAACAAATTTTGCGATCTGATTTTTTTCCAGTAGAAATCTAACACGTTGAAGCACAGCACAAGCACTCTGAGAGCAAACTCTTGCTCTGCAGCGTGAGATAAAAAAAAAAAAACTACAACAAAGTCAAACACCATAATTTTTACATTTTTGTTTTAAATTTATTGAATGAAAGCAAAAAATGTCGGAAATAGCATTAAATTTTAGAATATGCTTAGATTTGTTCGAATTGGTCGCCTTTGGCACGAATTATGGTCTTCAAACCGCCAATGAAAACGTCACACGCTGCCCGAATGTTGCTTTGCGGTATTTTGGCCCATTCCCGGCGAAGCGTTTGCTTGAGGTGATCGACACTTTGGTATTTTTTAAGTGACAACTTTGCTTTTCTCATCGGAGAAAACCAAATTCGGCAGATTACTGGCTCTTTCGGCCAAGCGAAGCAAATCTTTAGCAGTTTTGAGTCTATTTTATTTCTGTTATGGTGTAAGTTCTTGCACTTTTTGGAATTTCAATGGTTTTACCCTAAGGTAATTTTTCAATATTTGCCGAATGGAATATTGTGATTCGTATCCGGAGATTTTGGTGGCCATTGTGCGCTGGAAATGAAGCGAGGAACCTCATTTTGTAACCATTCTTTGGTGGCGCGTGCTTAGTGCGACGGTGCTGAGTCCTGTTGGAATGTCCAAGGTCTGCGGCCATAATGTTTGCGTGCCCAAGGCCTTTCCTAATACACAATTCAGAATATTTTCGCGATAATATTCGACATTTATTCTGATGCCACGGCTGTTATGACGGCCCACACCATCACCATGGCCGGCGCTTGAGTTCTGGTGGCCAACCGAAGGTGCACATTTTCAGCTGACCTCTTTGGCAAGTAAACACGATCATTTTATTTGTTTACAAACTGCTGGACAACGAATGTTTTCTTATCGGAGAAAACCAAATTCGGCAGTTCACCACTTTCGGCCAAGTGAAGCAACTCCTTAGCTCTTTTGAGTCTATTTTCTTTCTGCTGCGGTATAAGTTCTTGCACTTTTTGGAATTTCAATGGGCTTACCCCGAGCTCATTTTTCAATATTTGCCGAATGGAATATTGCGATATGTTTAGCTTACGAGCCACTGCGTTTCGATTTTGAAGTCGCTTCTTTACTTTCGAACCATTTCTGCTGATGTTGCTGTTTCTTCCGTCCACTTCTTTGAGATCGGTCTACGCTACCAGTATCACGGTAACGAGAGATGGTACGAGACACAAAAGATTTATTCACATTTAAATGCTGGAGTGCTCTAACGATAGTCGCTTGTGGTTTTCCAGCCAAATATAAAGAAATCACACTATCACGCTTGAATTCCAACACGAATTACTTTTTTTCTCACCAAAATGTATGTGTACGCTTGTAAACAATATAATGAGCTGTTACTGGAATAATTTTAACAGCTCTCGGACGAGTGTCTTAGAAATGACAACAGTCTGAAGTTGGCTGCAGTTTTTTCATCTCACCCTGTAAATTTTCAGCTTTTCGATTCCCACCCTAATTTTTCAAACAGGAATTCAAAAAGAGTAAAAAGTAAACCACTCCCTCTAGTGAGCAAGATATGCTCCCAAGAGAAAATAAGAAAACATGTGCTCTGAGTAAAACATAGTAACATGATAGCTTTCTTCTGATTGGTCGGTATGCCAAGTTTAAAGGATTATAATTCTACCCTACACTACATAGTGCTAAGGGTATTATGTCTTTGAGCATTTGTTTGTAACATGGAGAAGTAAGCGAGATAGACCCATAGTTACTTTTGAGGATCTTCATAGAATCACTTTTTGAGCCGATTTATGCATGTCAGTCCGTCCGTACGTCAAGGTATTCTTGTGAACAAAATGCAGGTCGCATTTATTATCCGATGGAGCTGAAATTTTTCAAATTATATTTGTTTGGCCCAAGGACGAACCCCATTGAAATTGGAGATAATCCGTTCTGATTAAGATATAGCTCCAATATACCTACAACCGATTTCTGGTTAATTGTGCACCAAATGGCCAATGGTATGCAAAGCTCTGAGGTTTTGCACATCCGTTCGAATTCGGTCTAGAAGCAAGTACATCAAATTTGGAGAAAATCTGTTCAGATATATCTATAGTTCCCATATATATGATTTATCCGATTTGTTATTTTTGTCCTCCGCAGCCGTAATATGCACTCTGTTACAACAATATTTGGGGAAATATATCAAATACAGCTCAGAAATAAATTTGCTAAATTTTATCGAGATCGGTTCAGATTTGGATATAGCTGCCATATATAACTTCGTCCGATTTACCTTGTATTGTGCACCAATCGTCTAATTATCCCAAATGGGATGAAATTTGGCATTTACGACCGAATTGAGTCTAGAAGCTAGTATGTCAAAGTTGGTGAAGATCGGTTCAGATATAGCTACATCTCCCATATATACTGTTCATCCGATTTGTTATATTTGTTACCCACAGCCGTAATATGCACTCCGTAACAACGATATTCAGGGAAATATATCAAATACAGCTCAGAAATATCTTTGCTAAATTTTATCAAGATCGGTTACGATTTGGATATAGCTCCCATATATATTTTTACCCGATTTCAAATTAATTGCGCACCAAATGGGCAATACAAGTCCGAATTTAAAAGATACGAATGCTTCGGAATATTTATTCCTTTGAACTTTAAATTATAATTATAATCATAGCGTGTATGATTGAATTCTCCCATAAAAATTCTCTGAATTCTCCCTACTAAATTAGCAAGGTGGTGTAGGGTATCATAAAGTCGGCCCCGCCCGACTTTAGGATCTTCTTAACTGGTTTTAATAAAATCCTTTTCAAAGTGATATCCTACACTCTACAGCAATGTTATTTGGTATAAAATATTAAAATCCGTCTCCGTTAAATTTATTGAAAATCGATTTAGAATTGGATATGTCTCCCATATATTAGTTCCCTCTGAAACCAAGCTGTAACTGCTCTAAAGCCAAATATTGATAGGTGGCATGATCTACTTCAAATAAATTCTTTTGTTATGGGAGCTCTACTAAATATGCATAGTGGTGTAGGGTAACATATACTCGGCCCCGACCGACTTTTGACTTTTCCTTACTGGTTTTCCTATTCTTTCTCGCCTCCTATTCTAAACTGTACGAGCCGATTAATCTGTAATCGTGTCACAAAATGTGACTTTAGAATCGGGTAATTTCTGATTCATAACTCCATGTGAAATTTCGAGACGTTCGACTCATGACATGACCTCCAAAAAAATCATTTTCTTTAGATGGACATTTTAAAATGTTTACAAAATTTTGGCACATTAACAGCTTCATTTTAGGATATCAAGAGTCATAAAAATTACTGGAATTTCTCTTCTGTAACTATCCTAGGATGACATTTTGCAGCTACTTATATGTGACGAACTTTTATCAAATTATGAAATTGTCAAAATTGATGGACTTATTCCTGGCATTTGTAAAAAATCTCTTAAGTATTAAATTTTCAAGAGTTATATTTTTTCTAGTATTTTTCAAAAATGTTAAGAAATAATATTTAATTGAAATATTTATACATTTCTCCTCTCTCTTACAGAAATGTGTGCTCGCTCTAGTCGCCCTGGTGGCCTGTGTCGGTGCTGATGTCTCTCACCTTGCCGGCAACTCATATTTGCCACCACATTCCGTATCGGCTCAATCACGTACCGTTTCATTTTCGCCCTCATCCGGATACACAGCAGGCAATGCGGTGAGCGGTAATGCCTATACCGCAGCAAATGGCGGTTTTAATGCAGGGAAAACTGGTTTCTCATCAGCCACCACCACCACCACTACAACATCTAATCGTGGTTTTAACTCTGGAAATACTGGTTATTCAACTTCATCATCTCGTGGATTTAATTCTGGTGCATATCAACAGCAACAACAAACAGGTTTTGGTGGTGCCGCCAGCGGTTACTCAACTGGTGCTAAGCAGGCATATACTGCTCCAGCTGTTCAAAAGACCTTTACATCCCAAACCTATAGTGCTCCTCTTACCCAACAGACCTATAGCTCCCAAAAAACCTTCTCCGCTCCCAGTGCCCAACAGACCTATTCGGCACCTGGTAAATCTTATAATAGTTATCAATCTTATACTTCATCGGGAGCGGGAAGTCAAAAAACTTTTAATGCTCCAGCTGCCCAAACTGTTACCTATTCAAGCAATTCTGCTCAACAAAGTTACACTGCCCCTGCTGCTCAAAAGATTACCTACTCGGCTCCGGTTGTACAACAAACAAGCTCCGGTCCTGGTAAATCCTATAACAGTTATCAATCATATACGGCCCCTAAATCGTTCACCACTTCAACGGTTCAAAAATCTGCCAATAATGTTGATAGAAACTATTTAGCTCCCAGTTCGCAGCAGAGCTATAAATCGACTACGACAACACAAAGTTATACTGCCCCAGCCATTCAAAAGTCGACTTTCACAACTGGAGGTAGCCAACAATCTATAGCTGGACCTGGTCAATCCTACAACAGCTATCAGTCGTATACAGCTCCAGCTGCTCAAAAGACTTCCTTTAGTACTTCTCAACAAACTTCTGGCGGTGCCTCAAAATCCTTCCAATCTTATACTGCTCCTGCTACTACAAGTCAAAAGGTAACTTATACATCAGGAAGTACTTCGCAACAAGCCATTGGCGGTCCTGGTAAATCCTACAATAGCTATCAATCTTATACTGCTCCTGCTAGCCAAAAGATAACTACCTACACTAGCAGCTCTCAACAAGCCAATGCTGGACCTGGTCAATCTTATAACAGTTATCAATCATATACCGCTCCAGCACCGCAAAAGGTAACCTACACCAGTGGCTCACAACAGACCAGCTCGGGACCCGGCCAGTCATACAACAGTTATCAATCGTACACAGCCCCTGCCAGCCAAAAGGTTACCTACAGCGCTCCTGCCACAGTTCAGAAGACCTACACCTCTACTTCATCCCAGCAATCTTATACAGCTCCTGCTCCCCAAAAGGTCACCTATACCAGCAGTTCCCAAAAAACTAGTTCCGGACCTGGTCAATCATACAACAGCTATCAATCTTATACTGCTCCTGCTGCTCAAAAAGTCACCTACACAAGTGGCGCCCAACAACCTCTTGCTGCTGCTGGACCTGGTCAGTCTTATAACAGTTATCAGTCCTATACTGCTCCTGCCACACAAAAGGTTACTTACAGCGCCCCTACCGTACAGAAAACCTATACAACTAGCTCCACTCAACAAGCCTACTCTGCTCCAGTTGTTCAAAAATCCACATTCACAAGCTCTAGCGGTTCGCAACAATCCTTTGCTGGACCTGGTCAGTCTTATAACAGTTATCAGTCCTATACTGCTCCTGCAACCCAGAAAGTAACTTACACTGCTCCTGTCGTCCAAAAGACCTTTACAACTTCCTCGACCCAACAAGCCTACACTGCTCCAGCTGCCCAAAAATCCACATTTACAAGCTCTACCGGTTCGCAACAATCCTTTGCTGGACCTGGCCAATCATACAACAGCTATCAATCTTATACTGCTCCTGCAACCCAGAAAGTAACTTACACTGCTCCTGCTGTCCAAAAGACCTATACAACCTCCTCGACACAACAAGCCTACACTGCTCCAGCTGCCCAGAAAACAACATTTGCAAGCTCTAGTGGCGCCCAACAATCTTTTGCTGGACCTGGTCAATCATACAACAGCTATCAGTCTTATACTGCACCAGTTTCGACAGGAGCTGCGTACACCGCCTCCTCGTCCTCATCGTCAGGCGGTACTAAATATGCCGCCGATGGTGGTTACATCTATTAAATTGTGATCTGTTATTTTTTGAATTTTTTCTCTCAAATCTGCGACAAAATTCGAATTGTTATACGAATTAAATAGGAATACTATCAATCATTCGGAATATTTCTAATCTATGTTACGGAATGTTAATTGGTATATCTTAGAAACAAAAAATAAATACAAAAACAAATATTTTCGAAAAAAAATTGTTGTTTTTATACTCTACAACACTGTGGGTATTATAAGTTTGAATTATTTAAATTATGTAAAATCTAGAAATATTACTCCGGCACATCGGAATGGGAAGGGTGAGATAAAAAACTGCAACAAAGTCAAACGACATAATTTTTACATTTTTTCTTTAAATTTTATTGAGCGAAAGAAAAAAAGGTCGGAAATAGCATCAAATGTTAGAATAAATTTGGATTTCTTCGAATTGGTCACCTTTGGCAGGAGTTATGGCCTTCAAATGGTCAATGAAACCGCCACACGCTGCCCGTTGTTGCTTTGCGTTATTTTGGGTTTATTCCCGGCGAAGCGCTTGCTTGAGGTCATCGACTCTTTGGTATTTTTTAGTGCCAACCTTGCTTTCCAAAATACTCCAGACACAATAGTACAACGGATTGGTATCCGGAGATTTTGGTGGCCATTGTACGCTGGAAATGAATCGCGTACTGAGTGGGATGTTGCTGAGTCCTGTTGGAATGTCCAAGGTCTGCGGCCAAAATGTTATCGTGCCCAAGGCTTTAATACACCCTCCAGATTATGTTCGCGACATTTATTCTGATGCCACGGTCGATTAATACGGGCGGAGAGCGATCATCGGCTATTATGGCGGCCCACACCATCACCATGGCGGGCGCTTGAGTTCTGGTGGCCAACCGAAGGTGCACATTTTCAGCTGACCTCTTTGGCAAGTAAAGACGATAATTTTGTCTGTTTACAAACTGCTGGACAACGAATGTTTTTTCATCGGAGAAAACCAAATTCGGCAGTTCACCACTTTCGGCCAAGCGAAGCAACTCTTTAGCTCTTTTGGGTCTATTTTCTTTCTGTTGTTGCAGTGTAAGTTCTTGCACTTTTTCGAATTTCAATGGCTTTACCCCGAGCTCATTTTTCAATATTTGCCGAATGTAATATTGCGATATGTTCAGCTCAACAGCCATTTTTCGGCTACTGCAACGCGGGTTTCTATCAAGTCGCTTCTTTACTTTTCGAACCATTTCTGCTGATGTTGCTGTTTTCTTCAGTCCACTTTCTTGACGTCGTGTTTACGCTACCAGTCTCACGGTTCACACATTTAAATTCTGGAGGGCTCTAACGATAGCCACCTGTGAAATTCCATAACAAATAACTTTTTTTCTGGAAAATTCTCACCAAAATGCTTTTGTGCGCTTGTAAACAATATAATGGGCTGTCACTGGAATAATTTTAACAGCTGTCGGATGAGTGGCTTAGAAATGTCAGCAGTCTGAAGCTGATGACAGCTTTTTCATCTAAGCCTCATAAACTGCAAAATAATTTTCCAAAATTTCTATTGAAACGCGAAAGTTTAAAATGTCACAGCTTTGCATGTCTAAGTATTTATACCAACCATAGATGTTAATACCCTCATAATACCTTCCCAAGGTTAAAAAATTTATTAATAAAAATTTGAATATTTAATCTATATCACCTGCCCATAATATGATCAGATCACCACCAGATACTATAGGTGTCTATTCTGGTTGGACGTTGTTTCTAAACAAGATCGGTCTATAACTGAGGGCCCTGAAGGTTGATATGAATATGGAAACACCAAAAAGGGGGTCTGGATGATTATTTCCCACATTTTGATGTAGCATAAGGTGTGGGCCTGTAATTTATCCATATATAGGGGTGAACTCTTTAACATGGCGAAATCAAAACAAAACCTGCCGAAACAGAGTGTCCAGACGGAATTAATGAAACCCCTGAACGAATACGAGATTCAGCGTAATTTTGGTAATGGTTGGATCAGGATGGTTATTAAACTTTCGCCAAATGTCAAGAAGTTTCATCTGAATCTTATGTGTGAAATATGTGACTAATCAATTAATCAATAAAGACATCTCCGAACAAGTTAAAACGCAGAATAATCGGGCCGGGCCGAACTTTGAATACCCTCTACCATTTGGAACGAATTTGGAAATTTAAAAAAATAAAATCCGAATATAGCCGTTATACTGGGGGTCTATACGACGTGGACTTACATGCGCATTATTTGTCGTAAGCCATTGAAATAAATGGTGAATATCATAATACCGTATATAGGGAAGTACCATTATATCGGAGCTATACGAAGACCTACACGGACAATTTTCTGTCACAGGCTGTAGCTTCTATTACGAACTTCAAATGCGACATCTCAAACAATTTCGGTGAATATTGCACCTAGAATCGTCAAAATACCGTATAGAGGGAGGAACTGATATATAGACCAATACGAAGACCTGGACCTGCATACACAATTTTCTGTCACAGACTATAGTTCCCATTACGAACTCTAAATACGTAATTTAAAACTACTGCGGTGAATAATGACGCTAAAATCGTCAAAATACCGAATATTGGGAGGTACCGTTATATGGGGGATATACGAAGACCTGCACAGACAATATTTTATCATAGGCTGTAGCATCTACTACCAACCTCAAATACCAAATTTGAAACTATTCCGGTGAATAATGACACTAAAATCATCAAAATACCGAATATTGGGAGGTACCGCTATATGGGGGCTATACGAAGACGTGGACCGGCACAAACAATTTTCTGTCTTAGGCTGTAGTATCCATTTCGAACTTCAAATACCAAATTTGAAACAATTCCGGTGAATAATGTCGCTAAAATCATCAAAATACCCAATATCGGGAGGTACCGTTATATGGGGGCTATACGAAGCCATGAACCTGCATAGACAACTTTCTGTCCTAGTCTGTAGTATCGATTTCGAACTTCAAATACCAAATTTGAAACAATTTCGGTGAATAATGTCGCTAAAATCATCAAAATACCCAATATCGGGAGGTACCGTTATATGGGGGCTATACGAAGACGTGGACCAGCACAAACAATTTTCTGTCTTAGGCTGTAGTTTACATTTCGAACTTCAAATACCGAATTTGAAACAATTCCAGTGAATAATGTCGCTAAAATCATCAAAATACCGAACATTGGGAGGTACCGTTAAATGGGGGCTGTACGAAGACTTGGACCGCACAAATAATTTTCTGTCTTAGGCTGTAGTATCCATTTCGAACTTCAAATACCAAATTTTAAACAATTCCGTAGAATAATGTCGCTATAATCATCATCAAAACCGAATATCGGGAGGTACCGTTATATGGGGGCTATATGAAAACGTGGACCTACATGGTCCATTTACGAACTTAACTTGCCTACTGGCAAAAAAATAATGTGTGCAAAATTTTAGCCTTCTATCTCAATTTGTTCGAAAGATAGCGTGATTACAACAAACAGACAGACATACAGACGGACAGACAGACAGACGGACAAACACACAGACAGACAGACAAACAGACAGACGGCTATCGCTAAATCGAATAGAATAGAATTTTACGCTGATCAAAAATATATATATAATTTGTTGGGTCTGACATGAGTATTTCGAGGAGTTACAAACGGAATGACAAAACTAATATACCCTCCATAGTATGGTGGAGGGTATAAAAATGGTGGTCTTAAGACTAGATTCAAGATTTAAGGATTTGATTCGAAATTTTGATTAAAATCGCCGATGTGAAATTTTACGAGAGCGACGAGTATTAAAATTTATAGCCTTTCTAGGGGAGGAAACAACATAAAGTGGGCCGAATTTGAACGCGCCTCGATGAACTCCGAATATCAAATTACAGTTCCTCAAAATGCATTGCAAACTATTCAAAACCTGTAGGTTTTATGGAAAGATTAAAGAGCAGGTAATAAAGGTAATAACAAATGGCTCTCAATTATGTTTGAAATGTAGCGAGGACCCATAAACATTAAAAATTGGAAATCATCCGGTCCAAAAATATCTACTGAAGCTTTTAACCTCCACCCTCTCATGAATTCAGCTGTTTTGTAGTGCTTCGTTATTTATTTAAAAAAGTAAATGTCAATTGAATTGTTAGCTCCATCGAATGAACATGCTCCGCTCTCATATGTTGTCATTTTTTAATATGCCTTTTGTAGAAAATCAGTTCTAGTTGAAATAATAGCCGGGCGAAGCAATGTGGTAGTGGTAACTGGAGTTAAATGGCGCACCACAGTCGGAGCAGTATATTGAACTACAGGAATAGTTACTGGCACAGAGGCAGCTGGGATAATTTCTCGTGTTACAGTCACAGGAACGGCATAACGAGCTACTGGAAAAGTTGCCAACGGCACCAAATTTCTGGTGTAGGTGGTCGAGGCTACGAATGGTGTTCCCAACAAACATAACAATGGAATAAATATGGACTTCTGTTAAAAAAAAAAAAAAAAAAACATATTAACGTAAATTATATTCTAACACGTTAAATACTAATAAAGTTATAAAAAAATTTCAAGTTACCATTTTTAGAAATTCTGCGATACTTGTGTTTCTTGGATGGAAGTTGTTTTGAAAACTGATGCCTATTTCGAAGAAAGTTATTATTTTTATACAAATATTTCGTTCTTTAATATTTCTTAGCGTTTCCTATTGGCTGAATTTATTTGAAATAATTGCCTAAGAAAGATTCAAATAAACAACCCAGTTTATTGTGAAAGTGCTCGTCTTTTTTGTTTGAATTATTCTCGTGCCGTGGTTTAGAAAGGTGATACAATTATAACAATAAGAATTTAATTCGTTTGTTTATCAAAAAATGAATGTTATTTCTTATTGGCATTTTTTTGATACACTGCATAACAATAATTCGTCATTATACCTCACAACACTATGTGTTGGGGTTGTTATAAGTTTGATTGGGACAAATATTATGTAACACCTCAAAATATTGGTTTCCCACATAGGAAAGTATATATGGATCTTCCCATCTCCCCGAGCTGAGTCGATCTAGCTATGTGTGTCCGTCCGTCCGTCTGTCCATGTTAATTTGTAATCACTCTACAGGTCGCAATTATGGATCGATCTTCACGAAATTTAGAATGGAGGTAGGGCTAGAGCCAGAATAGAACTCTATTGAATTAGGGGTTGAAACGGATTATGAACTGAAAAAATTCCTGATTTTGCAGTTGCTCTACAAACGCAACAATAAACCTATTGACGCGGAAGTTAGCATGGGGCTAGAATTAGGGCTGGGCAGAAGCCTTCCACTTTTCCATTAAACCGCGAATATTTTTAATCCCAGCGAAATCACAAATAGACGAAAAGGTCAATTCTGACCGTTACGTAGATGCCGATAGTAAATTTATCGGATATATATATATAGCGAAATATGCACAATGTATGTATACAAAGGAATGGGATGTTAGCTAGAATGCTTATATCTCAAGAATGGCTGAACCGATTTTGACAAATTTTATCAATTTAGAATGCCATCTTGACATATATGTATAAAATCGCATAAAAATGCTAATAAAGATGTAAATAGTGTATATTTTGTAATATTTCTCAACTTACAACAAAGGTTGGGGTTATTATATATAGATTGCAATTATCATCCTATCCTCACGAAAATTTTCCCAAGGGTAGGGTTAGGCTCAGAAGGGCTAAGTCTATGGAGTTACCTGTAATTGGTCAAATTGGGTCATTAGGATATAATTTATGAATTTGTATATTTAGTCCGAAGTCCGAGGGAAAGTATTAACATATAATTAAGAGGAACAAACAAATGCACAATTTCATAATCTACAATGCCATATTCTACTGTGTGGTGTAGGGTATAAACACGGAAGTGATCATAGAATAAAATATTCAACAAATCAATTGATTTTTAAAACAATCGTTGGAAATGCTGAAAAGACGCCATGTCAAATTACTAACACTAGCAACAACTAGCATAATTAACATCGAAGATTTTGCTGGGATGCTTTGTGGGTGCATTTGCTTTTATCTCCGTCAACTTTTTCTGATGTGCTTGAATGTATTGAGTTATCTTAATGATGCGGCGAATTAACAGCTTCGTAATGTGCGCCTAAAAGTTTGCAATGAAATGTGTATACTTTTTCGATAAATGCTTCGTATTCTTTTGGCGAGGTTTACCGACATTAGATATTAAGTTTTGCATTGGAGGATGTTAAATTTGTCATTTCGATTGCAACACCTCGAATCATTCATAGACCCCACCAAATAGGACTTTAAGAATACACTCTCAATCGAGGAACAAAAATTAATCTGGTATCAACTTTTAATACCAATACGAATATGCAAAAGTAGCTTCTTATCTCAAAGCTATTAATCAATAATAGTGGTTAATGCCATATTTAAATATTTTATATATATACTTTAATTGCTATTAAGATTTACCTGCCTATCTCAACTCCATCTCTAACATTGATTATCGTACCAAGTTTCAATATTATATCTCTATCCCTATGGTACTTTTCGTACACTTCTGGTACGGATTCCCAGTGGGCGATGAGAAACCAGATTGAGATTTAGCTCTTTATTCCACAAAACAGTTGTGGTCCTTTTCCAAATTTTTACAATCTTAACTCTAATTGTTTCCTTAATGACAGTGCAACAATTCAGTTACGTGTTCCTACTTTTCGGACAATTTTAGAACTAAGTTCATAGAAGCCTTTTTATACCCTCAATCATGTGGCTAAAGAAGGTATATGTCATTTGATATGGCCAAAACGTACCTCATCGAAATACCGGTTTTAGATCCTAGGTCTATTTGGACCAAATCCGTTTCAGGACATTTGGAGTCAATCTAGCGATGTCCGTCCGTCTGTCTGGCTGGTGCGCATGATAATTCTCAATTTGGTCCAAACTTGTTACATCGTAATATTATTATCAAATTGTGATCGAGTTCGCAGATGGGCAATATCAGTCCACTCCTTCTGGTAACTCACCCACAAAAGGTCGAAATATTCAAAGAAAATATTTGAGTGCACAGAAAAAGTAAGGATCATTAGCGCTAGGTCAGGTGTGAAAATGGATATAAAGGTCCACTCCCTTACAAGAAGTCAACATTTTGAATGGAATGGTTCATATTTTTGAGAAGTAAAACGTCACAAATCGTAAAATAACCATCCAACTCTCTTCAAATTTTTTCTAACTCAAGATCTGTAGAGAAGTTTATAGATATCTATCAAGCCCTTCTTGTACCTCACCCACAAAGGGTCACAATTTTCATTACTTATACCTGTCATAACTTCCAAACAAGGCAGCGATGCTTTACAACTTCATATGTCTAAATATTTATCTCAATCAGAAACCTGAGATGAATATGGAATTAATCGGAATTTATGATTTCGCATTAAATTAGATATGCTATTTTCGATTTTCTTGTAGTTTTGCCCATACCAATATTTATACCCTACACCACAAGGTGGTCAGGGTATTATGTATTTGTTCATTTGTTTGTAACAGGCAAAAGGAAACGAGATAGACCCATAGTTCTTTTTGATGATCTGCATAGAATCACATTCTGAGTCGATTTATGCATGCCCGTCCTCCGTAAGTCCATGTATTTTTGTAAACAAAGTGCATGTCGTATTTATTGCCCGATCTAGATGAAATTTTGCACAAATCATTTGTTTGGCCCAAGGACGAACCCTATTGGAGATAATCGGTAAAAATTTAGATATAGCTCCAATATATATCTTCGTCCGATTTGCCTTTTATTGTGCACCAAACGTTTAATATCAGCCCGAATAGTATGCAATATTGCACATACTACCAAATTAGGCCTGAAAATAAGTATGGCAAATTTGATCGAAATCGGTTCAGATATAGCTATAGCTCCCATATATATTGTTCATCCGATTTGTTATTTTTGTCCTCCGCATCCGTAATATGCACTCTGTAACAACAATATTTGGGGAAATATATCAAATGCAGCTCAGAAATTCATTTGCTAAATTTTATCGAGATCGGTTCCGATTTGGATATATATCCCATACATAACTTCGTCCGATTTACCTTTTATTGTGCACCAAACGTCTTTTATTTGCCCAAATGGGATGAAATTTGACACTTACGACCAAATTGAGTCTAGAAGCTAGTGAAGATCGGTTCAGATATAGCTATAGCTCACATATATGTTGTTCATCCGATCTGGGAAATATATGGGAAATATATGAAATACAGCTCAGAAATATCTTTGCCAAATTCTATCAAGATCGGTTCAGATTTGGATATAGCTCCCATATATATCAAATGGGCAATACAAGTCCGAATTTAAAAGATACAAATGCTTTGGCATATTTAGGCTTTTGAACTTTAAATTATAAATATAATCATAGCGTGTATGATTGAATTCTCCCATAAAAACTTTTAATTGTTCTGTGGAGGTCTACTAAATTAGAAAAGTCGTGTAGGGTATCATAAAGTCGGCCCCGCCCGACTTTAAGATTTTCTTTACTGGTTTTATTTGTATTAGATGAACTGTGAAAATGGAATACATCGGTCCACTATATCTATATAATCCAAACCAATATTTACATCATATTTATTTAGGTCCGACACAAAATGGACAATATTGGCACTTCAAATACAAGGACCTGCGTATTTGAAACAATTCCGGTCTATAATGTCTCTAACATTATAAAAATACCGAATATTGGTAGGTACCCTTATAGGGAGGCTATATGAAGACGTCGACCTGCATAAGTAATTATTTATCATAGAATACAGAAAATCGTTTTACTGAGAATAGTTATTGAAAACGCAGAGCTCGGGCTCTCTATAATCGCTCTACCCCATTGTACAGTTTGTAGTATTTTATGGTACAATTCGTACTATGTGTTAATAATATCTGTTATATATGTTATCTGTTTAAATTTAATCAATAACATTTAATTAATAATAAATTCTGCACTCTTCATGACACAACTAAAACGGAGGTAATGACACTTGACTTCAATAACAAAATATTCACTCGTTAATGACCAGTTGCATAGAACCATCAATTCACTGGCTAATTGGCCAATTGAGCTCTTTACCCATTCTGACTTGTCATTATCACTTGCTTCGTTTTGTCCGGCTAAGAAAAGAATCTTCTAAACATATTTCGGAGAATAGATTTCAGGGTTTATTTATACATCATTATTTTTAACAAATCGTTTGATGGTAGTTTCGGGGATTTACAAATTTAGTGGCGAACATAGCCTCCATTGGCGGCATAACGGGTACCAATAGAATTACCGGAGAAAAGGGAGGCAGCAGGTGCAGAATAGTGGCTAACTGGTGCGGAGGATACTGCGCGAGCAAAACCAGCCGATGAGTGACCACCGCTAGAGAAGCCACCGTATGAGTGAGAACCACCATGACCATAAGATGAACTCACAGCTGGAGCGGAATAGTGAACAGCTGGAGAGGCAGCAGCAAAACCACTGGAATGAGAACTTGAGGCGAAACCACTGCTGTGACCATAAGAACCGCTGGATGGGGCCAAATATTGTCTGGATGGTGCTGCAACGGCTGGTGCGGCGTAATGAACAGCTGGAGCGGCAGCAGCATGTGAGAAACCACCGGCATAAGATTTGGC